TTTCGTGGGTGAGAACCTCACTTCTTCAGATGCATAAGCTTTCGTGGGTGAGAACCTCACTTCTTCAGATGCATGTGAAGAAGTGAGGTTCTCACCCACGAAAGCTTATGCTCCCAATACTTCTGTTAATCTTAAAGGTGCCACAGGACCCTCTGTTGTATTATTATGAGCTGTGACTACACTACCTGGGTTCTGTTCTGATGGCCTCTGAGAACTCAGCATACCATCTCCACAGGACCTCTTACTGAGTTTGATATTCTGGGAGACTTTTTAATTCAGCACATAGCAAGGCCTTGGTGGGCCCTGGTACAAGAATAAAATAGGAACTCCCTTCCTGATTCCAAAATCCACCCCCTAGCTCTCCCACAGCCCCAATCTAGCCCCTGCCTCCTCCAGCTTCTGCCTAGCTTCCCTGAAGTTCTGATCCAGCTCCCCCTCAACCCCCCTCTAGTCTCCTTCAGTCCAGCCCCCAGCTCCAGTCCAATCACCCCTCCAGGCCCACACCCACACCTGTTTAGCCCTCCACAAACTCTCCAGCTCTCTGGTGAAGTGGCAATCAGATCATTAAAAAGTTTTCGCCTACCCATTAAGTAGTTTTATGCACTAGTTTTCACTAATATATAAAACAAATCACAAGTTTTTAGACCAGGGACTCTCCAACGTTTTTCATGGGCTGGATCATATCTTAATAGAATGATTGTCTGTGGGATCCTGTTCCCACCCCCACTCCTCTTCACAATTATGTAACATCTTAGTAAGCAATTGCTGTACTTGCCACAAAATTAGAAAGTGATATTAGTCAAGTATTGTATTTTAATGAGATTTAGAAGTGGGAAACAAAATCCCCAATCCTGCAAATGGAACACTGGTGGGTAGGATTGAATCTGGGATCTCTGGAGCTAAATGCACGAGTTTCTACCACATGAATTAAAAGCAATCTGCCTCTTAGCTAAGGCCATAGAGCAGACTCAGTCTTTCTCTAAGTGGTTTCGGTGCTACTAGATGGAACAGAGCACCACACAGAGGGGGTGTGTGGGTTACACAAACACTTAAGCACATGTGTAACTTTACTTGTGTGCATAGTATCATTGATGTCTACTCATCTGAGCAAAACTATGCACATCTGTACATGCTTGCAGGATTGGGGTTTAGGAGAAAAAAACATCTCCATGTGACCAAACAGTTGTGCTCAGACCATTAGCAATTACAGCTTGGATCACCAACGGTCCCTTGACCAATTTGGTAACTTCTTTTTAGACCAAACTAGTTTTGTAATATATGTGGACAAAAGTTTAGACTTTTAAAAAGATTAAAAACTTCTGTTTGTTTTTCCAAAGCTCAATATGTTACAAATTACCTGTCTCATTAGCCTTACCCTTTACAGCAAATAATCTGCTTTGGGTGGAGGCTGCACAAGTAAAAGATGGAAGGGAGACTATTTCCAGAAAGTTGTTGGGCAGGAAGGAAGTAAAATTTGGACTTTCTATAAGAGAAACTGTCACATGGTTATACATACATGTTAATATGCACAGCCCTACACTAAACATTGCGTAGACACATTGCATTATACACACAACCTTGTACATAAAACCCATTGCATCATGTACTCACACAACTGTACACACTCGAATTACAATGTCAAACTGTAAGGCTAGTTAGTTAAGGGCTGGAATAGGTTACCGAAAGAGGCTGTGGAATCCTATGGGTTTATGAGGTCCCTTCCAGCCCTACATTTCTATGACTATATGCACACAGCCTTGTGTTTATTCATGCATGTCACATACATCACACATGTAGGGTTACCATACGTCCTCTTTTTCCCGGACATGTCCGGCTTTTCGGCAGTCAAACCCCCGTCCGGGGGGAATTGCCAAAAAGCCGAACATGTCCGGGGAAAATGGCGGCTCTGCTCCTCCCTGACTCTTCGGCTCTGTTTAAGAGCCGAGCTGCCCGAGAGCTACCGGCTTCGGGCAGCCCCCCGTGCCTCCAGACCCTGCGCCCCCAGCCGGGCACTTCCCCTCCCGGGCTCCGGCGGCGCAGGGTCTGGAGGCACGGGGGGCTGCCCGAAGCCGTCAGCGCTCGGGCAGCCCGGCTCTTAAACAGAGCCGAAGAGTCAGGGAGGAGCAGAGCCGCCATTTTCCCCGGACATGTTCGGCTTTTTGGCAATTCCCCCCGGACGGGGGTTTGACTGCCGAAAAGCCGGACATGTCCGGGAAAAAGAGGACGTATGGTAACCCTACACACATGCCACATCTACAGAACTCACACAATATATGCGTGTGTTACAAATGTTATAGACATGTTACACACATAGTCCAGCCCTACCCAACACCCCTCCCTCCGCC